TGGCTGCGCACAAGAGCATCACGAAGTGGGTGTGGTAACTCATTCCACAACAAGTTAGATACCTAATTGTTTTAAAATAGACACTGCATATGATATCTATAGGCAAGATCGTTTGATCTGTTCAAAAACACTTAGAAATGATTAAAGTGTAGATATCATCCTGTTTACACATAGCTTCCGGATGTCAGGACCAATCACTGGGCCCTGCTGAGAAAACGAGAACAGTAGAAAAGATGCCGATGATCACACATACATAGACGTCTCAGGCATTGATAGGGTGCGAAACACTCTAATACGAACTGTTCAGGAGTTCATATTCAGAAGGTGGTGCATTTCGTGCATTCGAAGACTACAGCAGTTTAATGTTTATGTTCAACACCATGATAATTAAGAATCAAGAAAGTACAAGGACATTGGGTCATTGTGAGCAATGGCTGAGTGAATATCTGACAGGTTGGTGTATCGGTCCTATACTATTACGTGGCTAAGGAACAGTGTGTTGGTAGGCGTGGGATTGCTCGAACTTATGCAGTATGATTTCGCAAGATGAACTCACATAGCATAAAATATGCGGACAAAACTATCGATATATATATATATACCAATTAAGATATAAAACAAGTGATATAATGGAACATCTATCAGTAGGACATATGAAGACCTGCTCTACAAAACCCGAATTGGGCGGCTATTTGGAAGGCATTCAAAAATTTATTGGTTAGTTGGAATCGTAGCCATCACTATCGTCCGGCCATCCATCGAAAAACAGATCGTCCTCAGCGTGGCTAAAGTACAAAAATAATAGGCAATTATTTGGGCCTTGAGCCATGTATCTGGAGTCCTGATGGGAAATTCCCGAATGAGATGGTTGTTGTGCACTCCTGTGTAAGGCACTCTGAGAACTAGAGGCAACATCAGTGGAATAAACTGAACATCCAACAGGTTCATGGAAAACTTGGCCAAACTTGCCTGCCGGTGAGCAACGCACATTTTGTGCACACACTAGGACACTTCTACACACACACAAAGAAAAAGAAGTATCACACTTAACACACTTATTAGAATGTACACAGTTAAGGTACAGCCCTAGTAATCATGTCCCACATACACGTACTAGAACATACACAGGTGAGGAATAGACTTGGCAACCATGCAACATACGTACGTACTCGAACATACACAAATAAGGCATAACCCTTGCAACCATGCACCACGGGTAAGCCCACGAGCACATACCACTAAGGATAGAAACTGCCCATCATACATCATACACATGCCAAAAATCTTCTCGCACTATGAGCCTGCAACCTCCAAGGCCACTGAGAAGCAAAATAAACTAAAAATAGCACTGGCACACACACGTAGTGGACAGGTATAATATGGCCATGAGACGAAAACCCAAGCTTGGGTTTGCACGTGTCTACTTACATGAAATAGGCGAACGCTTTCTTTTTGCACTTGCTCAGGGTAAGTCTGAGTGTGTCGTCCCGTTTGGGCCTACACGTGGATGGCAGAAGCACGTACAGATCTTTAGGGTGCACACTCATGGCAGGTGACGGGGCTCTCTTCCTGTATCAAGGTGTGGTAGAGTGATAGTGAATATATATTTTTATATATATATTTATAAATATATATATATATATGTATGTACACTCATAGCAGGTGAAGAGGTTCTCTTACTGTAGGATAAAGGAGTGCTAGAGTGAATGTACAGTGAATCTATATATGTATGTACATATACACTCATGGCAGGAATATATATATATATATAAATACATATACACACACACACACACACACATATATATATATATATATATATATATAAATATATATATATAGATATATACACCGACAGCACGCACGGCGACAAGAAGCTCCACACCGAACGTACCAATACAACCCGCTCGACCAGTTTACCATAAATACATGCACACGGAGTATAACAACGCCCACAACCGACCACATACACAATCGGGGTCTTGACCGTTCTCGCCTGCTTGTGCGTCTTTACATCTCTATCCCCCCTCACTCTCGAGTGTTTGTGGTTCCTCTTGGTATGCCTATCGCTACCTACGCTATCTCTACCTAGCTCCTCATCAGATACTCTCTTCCTGTTGGCCTGGGTTCGAGTGCCGGAGCTGATATCAGCTCTTGTAGTGTCAGCCATGTGTATGTTTGTCTTCGCATCAGTATTGGTATGCGTTGTTACATTTGTTGCCGTTTCTGATGTGTGTTGTGTGGTTGTATTGGTTTGTGCAGATAAGTGTGTTTCTGACTGTACCCGATCCGTGGAGAGATTGCGTAGATCGAGACCGGTGCCAATAACCCTTATTTTAGGTGCAGGTGCCTGGTTCGGACTTGAACTAACCGAGATCTGCGTGCAGACATACAATAAGAGGAGGATTAGTCGGCGATTGAATTAAAATGAATCGAAATCCAATTTAATATTACATATCTGAGTATTAATGTATTAATGTATTAATGTATATATATATATATATATATATTATGTATCAATATGAATATAAATATACAATATATGTATATTTGTTATATATATATATATAGGCACATAGATACATAGATACATAGACGCATAGATACATAAATACATACATACATACGTACATTTTTACATACATACATACATACACACACACACATATATATATATATAGACATATATATATATGCATATATAGAAATAAAGATATATGACAAGAAAGAAAAGATGGAAATAAAGAAATATTTGTACACGTATATATATAGCCGCCACGGCATAGAGCCGTTAACTAGCCCTCTAAATACCGCGGGCAGCTAACTTAGACAAGAGACTTCTCATACACCTCTATCAATCTTTATCTGCTATACAAAACCCTTCTATTCACACACAGGTAAATATCACGTCGCATAGGAAACCTCTACCAACCTGTGCATGTGAATTCTGCGATGACCTGACTGTCATGTCAGTGTCTTGGGTGAAAACTGGTCCAATCTGAGAGTCGGGTACAGTCGTTATCACGGGATCGCTCTCCTGTGTTTGGGGGGTGTGGCCGGATAAGGATATATATAGAAGCTGTCGCATACTAGTGATTATTACATAGAGCAATATATATATATACACATACATACACAGATACATACATGTATATATATATATATATATATTGATTTACACACATACAACATAAAGCAGATGCTTATAGCGAGAGGACTGTGGAGTACACACGTCAACGCTCAAAGTTCTGTACTTAGACACTCTTCCGAGGCACACTTCCATCTAGGGCATTACTTTGTTCACTTTACACATGTTAAACGTTGTTTAAACATGGCAAACTTAGTTTAAATATGTTAAACTTTATTTAAACATATTTAAACATGTTCTAAGTGGCTACAGCCCCCAGTGCTGCAGACACTCTGCGCATATCAACAACAAAATAGAACAAAAACTCTCGTCCGCGAATCAGCGATACGAAGAGTGGGCATCCGCGGTAACTATTTCTGAATATATACAGAGAACTGGATAAACACAACTCGGGAGCACGAATCATATATGCTTCATCTTAATAGCTACAAAATACTGGTGGTACCATATATGGAACGCTGATGGATGTGATCGTCGACAATATGGATACAAATAAATATTTAAATAAACCCGAGTATTCTGTCACAAAGAAGCTCCGACAGTATGCATGCATACCTGCATGCATGTACATAAGTACATAAGTATATATATTTATGTATGTATGTATGTATGTGTTTATGTATGTATGTATATATGTATGTATGTATGTATGTATGTATGTATGTATGTAAGTATGCATTTATATATATATATATATATATATATATATATATACTATATATACTACTATATAT